CCATGCAATTGTGACAAAAGAAGTAAAAGAAATAAAAATTTCTCAGAATGATACCGTACCTTGGAATATTAGAGGTAAACTGTTCATGGAAACCTAGAGTAAATTTTCTCCTTCAATTCATTAAGAGATCAGATTTGAAAATAATGCCGTGGAATGTGATAGAAAAGGTGCGAAAGATACCAAAGGGACATTCAAAGTCATAAGTCGAAAATATAATGACGACGCCTAGGCTAAAAAAGATAAAATACCAATAGACAAAGAATAGTACGCAAACACAACATAGAAAACTAAAAACTGAGCAACACGAACCCAGCCAAAAACTGGGGGTGATTTCAAGTGCTCCGGAAGGATAAGCAGATCCTCCGCTCCACGTGTGGTACTTTTCGTGTTGCTCATGTTAGTACAAACCCAGTTATAAGTCTAATTAGGTATGTCACATTCGGGAAAAGGGGACAGGACTGTAGTAACGACATTAGAAACATGTCCACTATCATCTGTGAAACGGATATTCCGTAACGGCCAACAAACTCGTGATGGCGTCTGTAAAATTTACGAAGGGATGATTTCACTACTCGGAATTCTTGGTTTAATATCCTCCTTGTGAGCAACAACCCTCTATCAAGGAAATCATGATAGGAGATACAAGCCCTTGCGTACAGCCATCATATTAATAGGTTTGCTAATATTTTTTTTTATGAGAGTTCAAACTTTATTCTCAAGAATTAAACAACGAAATCCATTGCACACCCGTGTGAATTAACTGCGCAAACCTTTCAAACATTGCCCCTTGTAGGCTTGTAAACGAGTAGTGTTTTGAAGATAACAGACAAATAAGATTTTCATTGTCCATGAAAAGTAAAATAACAAAAAATACCGAACTCCGACGAAAATAATGAAATTATACCTTTATCATATCAATTTCCCATTTGTCAGCAGTAACATACCATCTGTCCCGTCGTATGGTGTTTACATATCGCAATTGATACGTTATGCTCGTGCATGTTCACACCATACGGACTTCATATACAGGAGTATGTTCCTTACGCAGAAAATGCTCCAACAGAGTTATGAGTAGAAAAGATTAAAAATGACTCTCCGTAAATTGTATAGACAACCTCTCGATTTGGTTCATTTATACGATGTGTCTTTGTCAAAACTTACTAACGACATTTTACCACGTCTTAGAATTTGGTTTACCATCTACGTCGTCTTGTCTGCTTAATACCGAATGTGACCTATTCTCGAACATGACTGTTTTGCCGAGTGTGAATTTGCATTCAGTTTACGAGTGTCTCGGTATTTATATATCAAACATTCATGTGTTTAGTTGTGATGTTTCTATTGTTAATCCAGTTGAGTATTTTGTTATGTCTTATGTTCGCTGTTGGAGAAGTCGTGGTTCGGTATTAATACATCTCGCTTTCGGGAATTTTGTTGTTACTTTCTTATACATGTGGGTCCGATCGGTCATTTTGTGCTGAGTTGTTGTCTTTCTATTTCGTTTGTTGTTTGAATTCTGTATTTTTGGTATAGATCACATAATATAATTGTCAGTATAGTTGATTTACTCTTGTTTTGTCTGCAGGTTTTTTTTTTATGTTGTTTGTTCTAATGTGTGTTTACTTTTTGGGTTCATATGACATTGCCTTATATTACAGTTATTTAGTTGGTTTTTTTTTTCTATATGTATGTTAAAGTTAAGATAAGGTATCCACTATTTCATTTATATGATATTAGGTTTCAAGTAACTATATGCATAGGATACTTTTGTTTATACAGAGTTTTGATTCAAAGGAAAAACCGCCTTTGTCAAAAATACATATACTAACATTACTACAACACAATTCCGTTTTAATATTCTTGTCATGGTAAGAAAACACATCAGCTGATATCATTACAAACTCAATCTCAATTTGATATTCTTGTGCGTTAATAAAACAAATCTATTTTATAATTAGAAATTTACCCGCGATAATATAAACGTCACGATGAATACGTCAATATTGGTGACGTTTATCCAATATGTGACGTGCACTTTATATTTCGTATGTGGTATACGGGCGTGCTGTCGTAAAATCATAGGAGGCATCCGTTGTTATTCGGCGATTTGCATCTTATAATGCACTATTATATTATTTATTTATCTATTTATCTGTGCTGAGTATTCTTGTGTTTATTTGTACTGAATTCCTGTCACGTAGTATTGACATTATAGGAATATTTTCAATATTGCCATATAAGTGGGAGGTTTGGCTTACCTCAAAACCAGGTTAAACCCCCTTTTCTTTTTTCTTAAAATGTCCTGTACCACGTCAGGAATATGGCAGTTGTTAGCAACAGTCCGTTTCAGCTTGATACCTATTAAAGTTAAAGATTGTTTTATATCTGATTCAAACTAACCTTTTGGGGGGTCAGGTTGATACCTTGGAAAGTTTTTAATTGGTTTATACTTTGTTGAATGTAAATTCTATGATGTCATGTTGAAATCTTGGAAAGTTGCAAATTGGTTGAAACCCTATCCAAAGAACACTTCTGAAAGGACAGACTGGTGGCCTGGAAAGTATGTTGTTAACGTTGTGAGTTTAAGTTGAAATCTTGGAAAGTTACAGATTGGTCGGTACCTAATTCAGATACCTTAGAAAGTAACAGATTGGTTGATATTTAATTTAAAGTATAATTTGGGAGGTCAGATTGCACCATTGAATGCAATGTAGCATCTTTTGGATGTGAGGTTGATATCATCGGACGTTTTAAATTGGTAAATATTTTATTGAAAAAACTCTGGAAGTCTGCTAGATATTTTGGAAAGATGTCAAAACAAAATGTCCAAAAACGGCAAAACGTAATATGACGATGGGCAGGTGGGCGAGCGGACAGATTGCAAAGTGTATATCTAGTTATTGTAGTCAGTTCCTTCTCCAGTTTTCAACCAAGATGCTTAAAACTTTACAGAAGATTGTACATATGTTGAAATTATGCACTTACAATATTATCATTTCTGATGAGTTTATTTCTCATTGTTTTCCGAACTGACAACTTAATAATTTTGCAGCAAAATCTTGAAAGAGGGTACAAGTTTCGTGAAATCAATATTTCCTTTAGTATTCAACTCGTATCCCTGAAACTTCACAGGAAGATTGCACAAATCTTGAGGTTATTAGGGAGTTCATTTTTTTATTTTTGCCAGACTTGGGAACTTAGTCGTTTTTCAAATATTTTAATTTCCCATATAGAGTATTCTACGTTGGCAACCCACCTTTTGGGTCTTAGATCGTTTTTTATTAATATATGACAATTCAAAATTTATCAAATTAATAGTATTAAAGGTTAAACGTCTCCATGTTAATTTCTTTGATCTTTTTCCTATGATCAGACTATATGAGTACTATGATACACAAATGTACCAAACTTATGGTCTGGGATATATATATGGGAGACCTGCAGGCACTTAAATAGAATAAACATAAAAAATAGATTTAGTTAACACATCATTGATGAATGATAGAGATTGCCTTTTCATTGCTTCTGTACTTTGATTTTATTGTAAGGCTATAATGTTATCATCTATCTCATTTTTCATCTATCGATTATAGAGAAAATATAATTAATTTTCATTTACTTTATAAAGATATGTACTAAATACATCATGTGACTATTAATATAATGTAATGAAGATCTACTGTATCTAGGCATTACTATATCAGTGCTGATAAAATGTTTTCATTTCAGTCAGAATTAACGATACACTTCAAACCTGGAAGGCCATTGATGTTTAGATGTTTATTAACACAAGAGCTGCCACGGATATTCTCGAAAGCTTACAGAAAAACAGTTGTGTAACTATCACTGCTAGTTTTGGTGTAGGAAAAACGTTCACTCTCCGACATACAGCTTTACAATTTGCAGAAGAAAACTACGATGTTCTTCTTGTGACAGAGCCAAGTGACATTCTGAAGTTTAACAATCCAAATAAGAAAACATTATTTGTTATTGATGATTTATGTGGGAATATTTCAGTTGATCAGAGTCACATTAATAGTTGGGGACCAGTCATGGAGAACATAATGCAGATTCTTGATACAAAACAAACAAAAATACTTGCCGCGTGTCGGTTACAAGTGTACCTAGATGAAAAGTTTGATTCTTTATCAGTTTTCAAGTCATGTGTACGCAACATATATTTATCAAAAACTGAAAAGTGTTCAATAGCTATGTTGTATCTTACAGTTAACGCTTCTGAGATTGGTAAATACTCTGACTTATATGACTGTTTTCCCCTTTTATGTAAAGTGTATTATGAAAATCCTAAACTTAATATTAAAGATTTCTTCCAGCACCAGTTTTCAGCTTATGAAGCTGATATTAACAAGCTACTGCAGAAAGGGTATTACACTAAGTATTGTGCTCTGGCTTTGTGTGTCGTGTTTAACAACAAGTTGAAAGTAGAAATATTTACTGAAGAAACGGATAAAGTAACCAAGACTATCATCGAGAACATATGTGAGGCCTGTAAATTAGACAGAAGAACATCTAGACTTATCTTAAAAAGTGAACTTGACTTACTTACACATACATTCCTAACGGAGGAACATAACGTTTACAAGACTATACATGACAACATATTTAACTTTCTAGCGTATGTCATTGGACAGCAAATAACCCGTTGTTTGATAAAAAACGCAGACAATGGTTTGATCAGAGACAGATTTTTATTAAAAAAATGTGATGACATGGACCAGTTTATTACTATTATACCACTAAGGTTTCATCAGATTTACTTACAGAGAATGCTTGATGACTGGACGAGGGGAAATGTACGAGGTGTATTTAATAACATCAATATGAAGATACCTCAGTTTAGACAGAAATTTCTTACCTATATGCATACACTGAAAAGATCTTACCAAAGACAACTGGCAAATACATGTGATAAATCTAAACCATGTAAACAAAAACCTACCGTTGATTCTGTTTTTCATAGATATGATACAGAAAATAGATCTGTGGATAATTGTTGTCAGCATGGTTTTCCTTTAAACAAGTGTTCATATAAAGACAAGTCACCCATCATGATTGGATTCAAACAAGGTCATACAGAAATGATACAAATGTTGTTGGACATGGGAGCAGAATATTATAAACGTGACAGGACGGGTAGGTCACCATTACTGAAGGCTTGTAAGCATGGTCATACAGAAATACTTAATATGCTGTTACAAAAAGGTGCAGACTGTCGTGTATGTGATAATATGGGAGAGTCAACTTTAATGGTTGCTTGCAAACATGAGAATACAGAAATAGTAACGATGTTGTTGGACAAAAAAGTAGACTGTAATAAATGTAACAATTTTGGAGAGTCATCGTTAAAAATGGCTTGTGTACATGGTAATATAGAAATAGTAAAGATGTTGTTAGACGAAGGACAGTTACCTGTAGTGGTTGCCCTTATACATCACCATGCAAATGTGGTAAAGATTTTATTAGAAAGAGGAGACAATTTATTTGAGCGTAGCTTCCTTTGTAAGTCATATGTACGAAAAGCTTGTGAAGATGGCTTTGCAGACATAGCAGAGATCTTGCTAGACAGAGGATCAGATTGTAATAAATGTGATGAGAATGATAAGTCGCTTTTAATGATGGCATGTGAACATGGTCATATAGAAATAGTAAAGATGTTGTTGGACAAAGGAGCAGACTGTAATAAATTAGATTACATGGGACAGTCCCCTGTAGGGATTGCTCTAAGACATCATCATACAAACGTGGTAACGATTTTATTAGACAGAGGAGACAAATTATTTGAACGGGGCTTCCGTGGTGAGTCACATGTAGAAAAAGCATTTGAACATTGTTATACAGACATAGTAAAGATCTTGCTAGACAGAGGAACAGATTGTACTAAATGTGACGAGAATGGTGAGTCGCCTGTTATGAAGGCTTTTAAACATGGTCATATAGAAATAGTAAAGATGTTGCTAGACAAAGGGGTAGACTGTAATAAATGTGACGAGAATGGTGAATCGCCTATTATGAAGGCTTGTAAACATGGTCATATAGAAATAGTAAAGATGTTGATAGACAGTGGCACTGACTGCAATATAAGTAACCGGTATGGGGAGTCACCTGTAATGATGGCTTGTAGACAAGGTCATTCGGAAATCGTGAAGATGTTGTTATACAAAGGAGCAGATTATAATAAATGTGACTGGTACGGTGATTCACTTGTAATGAAGTCTTGTGAACATGGTCAGAAAGAAATATTACAGATTTTATTAGACAAAGGCGCAGATTATAGTAAACGTAATAGGGAAGGTCAGTTACCAGTTATGAAGGCATGTGAACATGGTCAGATTGAAATATTAAAGATGTTGTTCAACAGAGAAGCAAATTATAATGAATGTGACTGGTATGGTAAGTCACTTGTAATGATTGCTTGTGGACATCGTCAAAACCAAACAATAAATTTGCTGCTAAACAGAGGAGCAGACTATAATAAATAAGACGGGTATGGTAAGTCACCTTTAATGCAGGCTTGCGAAAATGGGTATACAAAAATATTAAACATGCTGTTAGACAGTGGAGCAGACTGTAATACAAGTGATTGGTACGGGGAGACACCTGTAATGAAGGCTTGTAGGCATGGTAATACAGACATATTGAAGATATTGTTAGACAAAGGAGCAGATTATAATAAATGTAACAAGGAGGGACAGTCACCTGTAATGATGGCTTGTAAGCATGGTCATACAGAAATGGCAAAGATGTTTTTTAACGGTTAAGCAGACTGCAATATATATGTGACCGGTATGGGGAGTCATCTAGTATGACTGTCACTTCGGTCTCTTTTGTCTCTCTTGTGTATACAAGGTCATGTAAAAATAGTGAAGATGTTGTTAGACAACGGATTAGATTATGCTACATGTATTCCAACATTAAAAATCCATATTATACTGCTGTATAGATGTATTCTAACATTATACAGCAAAATATATGATACTGTTGTATAGATGTTTTCTGACTTTAAAAAGCCATATTATACTTCTATATATATGTATTCTGACATTATAAAGCAATATGATACTGTTGTATAGATGCATTCTGACATTAAAAAGCATTAATATACTGTTTTACAGATTTGTTCTGACATTACAAAAAGCCACATTATACTGCTATTTAAATGTATTCTGACATTATAAAGCAATATGCTACTGTTCTAAAAAAAATTTCTGACATTATAATGCAATATGAAACTGTTGGATAGATGTATTCAAACATTTTAAAGCAAAACGATTCACCTGTAAAGATGTTTTATGACATTTAAATGCAATACAATACTGTTGCATAGATGTATTATGACATTACAAGACAATATTCTACAGTGGTAACATTATAGAGAAATGTTATACTGATGGAACATATACCACTATCAAAAGATATAATATCGTTCCATAAGGATCTGCTACTTATGTAAACATATCTTTCTATTATTGTTGTGAATATGTCTGAACTATAGTTGTATAAATATGGATGTGTTATTGTTGTAAATATTTGTGGCATTATTGTGAAGAGTGTATATACATCTCCAAGTTATGTATTAATTCCATATAAATAATGCTATTTGAATGTTTTTGTTAACATTTGGACCTTATATTCGTTCAGGAGACAGTACTTCGATACTGACATGATTAATAACACACCTTTCTAAATTTGCCCCGGTTATAAATTTTGAAATCATAAAGAATCAAAGGTTTCAACTCCCTCAGGCAAAGTTGGTCTTTGAAGAATTTGGCTCTTATTTAAGGTTATTTTTGATTATATAGCTCAACTGTTTCGTTTTTATTCATCCTTGGCTTTCATATATTCGACTTTGAGTGTGCTTGATCCAGAAAAGCGCTTCAGACGCTTGAATTTGTGTTGTTTTCATTTTTTCTCAACTCAACCTGCAATTCTACTCATCTAATTTCGACCAAACAAAAGTCGAAGTACATATTTTAATATGGAACAAACTTCAGAACTATGGGAAAACTCCGACTCATCCGACATTTCGAGTCAACCGAGTTAGAGACAATGATTGATTGATTGGTTGTTAGTTGCTTAACGTCCGGTGGCAAATATTTCGTGCATGTTTAGGATGAGAACAAATTAACAATAAATACAACAATTAAGTCCTAAAGAAGTGCCAGTTCAGGATAATTGTCGGAGAAATTTGGACTGCCACGGCAACATGAGGGTATATTAAATTGGATAGGGAAAGACATTTAGCCTTGCTAAAAACCACCAACGGATTTCTCAAAGAATTGTCACAAGGGTTCTCAATGTGAAAAGAGCATGGCACTCTCTTTACAAGAGGCATCGGATTTAACGTCCCCACGTGGCTGCGACCTTGTACATCCTGCACAGCCAACCGGACGCCCCACTTCTGTGATTGTTTTACTGCCAGTCGAAGGAAGACCAATGGTGCCCATATTTCTATTCCCCAGTCGACTTGCACTCAGTCGTTTTTTGTTTGTTTCTGTGTAGTAACACATTCGCTTGACTCTAAGTCAATCTGCATGTGGAATATTCGTGTAGAGGGAGGTGACATCCATAAAGACAAGTGTAGTGTCGTCAGGAAGAAGATTTAAGGCCTGCATTTTTCTAGGATAATCAGTTGTGTCTTTGATGTGAGATCGTAAGTTTTTAACATGTTGACGAAGATGAAAGTCAACGAATTCCGAAATTGTGCAGTCGGATGACCATTCGCGCAAACGATTGGTATTCCTGCGTTCTTTGCCTTATCAATTTAAGATAAAAAAATAAAATCTGCCCGGTTTTGAATTTTCTGGTTTCAAATATTCAAGAGTTTTCTCATCGATGAAGCCGTTTTACTACCAAACTAGCAGTAATTTCTCTGCTAAAAATTGTTGTAGTATTAGAGTCCAGTTTTCGGTAAAACCTTGCATCGTCAAGTTGGCGTTCAGCCTCTTGAAAATAGGCACATTTGTCAATCAAGTGCTTGGAGCAATGATAGAGGGTTTGATCCCATCTGCGAAGTAGTGTATTGGATGTTCATAATGGTCTCAATTAGATGAGTAGTGTTCAGTTTTAATTTGGTTTTATTTAATAGCTCTAATTTGTTTAAAATAATCATTGATGTTCATGATGTAAGAGAAGGAAACTCGAGTTCACTGGGATTATGTGAGTAACATAATACAGGTCATTCACAGAAAAATAATATTGAGGTCAATAAAGAAGAACCAACCAACAAATTTGATAAGTGCTATCCTGCTCACTGTACTAAGAGCATCCCTTACAGTCAAGCAATGTCTTAACGAGAAGGGGCTATACACTAAAGACTATTCAAACAGTTTTTCAAAAAGCGGAAAAAGTCACGAGGAGCAAATTACTAGAATACATGGATAAAAAGAAAAATAAAAAAAACTCCATGTATTCTTACTTACCACCCATCTCATAAACAGATTCGGTGTTATTCGTGAGCATTGGTAAACCATTTTTTATTAGTACTGTTGCGCAAATCTTTAGAATTTTATAATTTTTCCTTGTCAAACTTTTGAAAATGAATCTTGGTATCAGCATGATCAGGAGTAACGGAATGTTAAAAATAATGTCAATGGTAATAAATCAAGATTCTATAGATTGTTAAAATTGTATTGGTACGGAGTCTTATGTAAAGGTTGTTAATAATAGATGCCACCGCCATATTTTGTCACTTTTCAGAGCTTGTCCGTTACAATTCAAGGTTTAAACAGGTCGATATGCTAGACCACCAGAACCTCTACAAAACCGTTTGTGTATTTTTTTGTGATATTGTCCAAATTGAAGATGAGAAACAATTTCTTTTTTACTGTTGTTTTTATTCTGATATCAGACATGAATTATATGCCAAAGCCTGTCTTTAGAGAACAATGGATTAAAACACTACACTGAATTCAAATTTGTATGACTATAAAACATAAGAAACTAGACGGGTGCCATATGTGGAGACAGATGTGCAATGCTGTCATTTATAAGGTAATACGTCATGTACATGGAGTTATCTTTGTTTATACATAACTGTACATGTATTTGAATTGAATCAATTACAATTACGGATATCTCGAATTCATACAACTTACTGCAATCTCATGTTTTTTTAATTTTTTTCAGTTCCCACCGCAAAATGAATGCAATCTGTACTGTTCAATGCTAACGTCACTTTGATTTCACATGGTTTTGGTTGTCTCATCAATTTCTTTATTTTTTTAGCTTTTTTTAATGTGGTTTCTGCAATATTAGTAATTGCTTAATAAGATAAGTAATTCATATAAACTTACAAATGACTTATGGTGATATATCATTTGTATATGTATAGTACTTGTATCTACATGTAGCTATATGAAAGAACCCATTCTCGTATGCATGCATGTTATGGTTCATGCCTGTTATCTGTTTCTCACAAGAAGAGATATTTATAGTATCAAACTTCACATAGTGTGATCCGAAAATGCTATTATTTGATTGGCTTATCCAGCATAATTAGACAATTTTGCACCATTACAATTGAATATCTCCTTATTTTCATAATGGATGTATAGGTCATTGAAAGGTTCAGAAAATGTGCATGTTGTCTATGGCATGCAGATGCAGGATATATGATATCATCAAAAATATACTAGACTTTTTTATTTTTATCATTTTTATTTTACATTTACATGATTTAGAAGTGTACGAAGAATATAAAAATGTACGATGTTAAAGATGAGGCCATAACAGGACATTCATGTATGAAGTCATTTTTCGAGGAATTTTTATTTAATAGAACAATGAAAATGTTTACCATGAGAGAAATAGGTAATCACTCATGTTAGAATTGGATATTTACCAATTATTGACCTTTGACAATGTCAATACATGATGGATGGACCTTTTCAGATTATATTGATCTCGGACTTTGTCCTCGATCAATTAATCTAACAGGTCCATAATATAACGTATTGACTCAGTGAAAGGCCTTAATTTATATATAACATAAATATAAATAGTATAAGTTTTAAAATGATGTTGACTCATTGTTACTATTTTTTTGGAAATGATATTGACATTGAGTAAAGATCATTTTTAAAAATAGTATCGTCCAGTGTGTGAAAATAGTGAAAAAAGACAAAATATATACATGATATATTAGGAAACACATGACCAAAAAAAACTAATGATAAACAAGAGACATCAAACCAAATGTTATATTGCTTGATATCCAATTCTCACTTGTTATCAAAACTATAAATAACTTGGTGCAAAAATTAGTACACTATATCCGGATTTCGACAATTAATGACTCTTCGGTGATGTAAGGGATCGAAACGGTATTTGGAAGGCCGTATAATTTACCTCAAAATATATACATATTTATTTATTTATTCTTACTAGATGTTTAATAAATATGAAGAATTCGGCGTTTTGTGTTAGTTTACCGACGGCAAATTAAGCTTTTACAATCTTTTTTACCAAAAAAGAACTCAAGGAATACAAATGGAATACAAATGGAAGGAAAAGAAATCTTTGGATTTGGAGTCATGGGAGCAATCTTCAAGTTTTATAATATTACAGAATAATTTAAAAACCGCTAACTGTATAACGAATATTAAGATAAAAAAAAAAGCCCAACAGAATTTAGGCAAATTTGGAATAAAGTAAAGCTGAACAACAATTGTAATATCACAACTAAGTTATTGCTTAACGTGTTTTTAAAGATATTAACAAAACTAATTATGATATCAATACTCATGTTAGCCAAGAATCTTCAAATTCCATGATAAGTAAAACAGCGAATCAACTATTGAAAGCTATAGAAAATATTAAGAACACAAAATCGTCGGGTGAATACATTTCTTCTTCTGGCCGAAGAACACAGTTATTTCGTAGTGCATTTCTTTTAGACTATAAATGAAAATTGAAAAAATCGCACATGCTCTTTCTCAATTATATTTTTACAGTGTGGTTAACTATTTTTGGGACAAATTATATATAATTATAGAAAACTTCATTACCTCTGACTAAAAATTTGAACAATTTTATGTTAAAGGGGTCTTCAAAAGAAAGATTTTAGAAATGAACTATATTCAAGCCAATAATGATGGAGTGTTTGCATTGTTGAAAATGCACATATACACAGGTGAACGACACTGGCTCTTTAAAACTAAGTGTCAAGGTGGATTTTACTCGACTAGTAATGTTTTGCTATGAAATGTATCCTGTGTGAGATTACAATTTGATCAATGAAAACGTGCTTTGATTTTTGTCAAAATAAGGCAGATACCCAGAGTGCATTTGGTATGAATAGTGAGAACCTTTATTTAAAGTGTGTCAGTTTATACAGTATTTCGGACAATTGTTACAGTATTTCGGACAATTTCTACAAGTATCTCAACCGAAATAGAAACAAGATCCATTCAAAAGGTTGAACTTTTGTTTGCGGTTGAACTACGATATGATTTGAGTGGGATAAAGAACAAATTTGCTAACTTTCTAACGACAGACAGCGCCTTATAATGATCATAGAAAGATAGTA